TTTTGTTGACCTTTGTCCATGGAAGGTCCCTGCAAAATTTCATTGAAATTGGTTCAGGGGTTTTGGAGAAGAAGTCGAAAATGTAAATTGTTTACGGACGCACGACGGACGACGGACGACGAACGACGGACGACGGACGACAGACGACGACGGACAAAAGGCGATCGCAATAGGTCACTTGAGACTTTGTCTCAGGTGACCTAAAAATCTAAATCAAACTACAAGCCAGATATCATTTCCTATGGTCATTCATAAGAACCTGTGGATAAATTTCAACAAAATTGACCCCTGTGACCTATAAAGTGAGTGAATGTGATTTATTTGAACAAACTTGGTAACCTTGTATCGAAGCATGGTACTTGCAAAAATCAACACCATTGTCGTTTAAGTTATTGAAAAGAAGTTGTTAAAAGATTTAGACCCATTTGACCCCATTACCTTGAAAGGGGGTCAAGTTCCTTCATTTGATCAAACCTGTTACCTGGCAGTTCTTATTCCTAGTTTACCATTATTGGCTCAAGGTACAATATCACGCTCACAAGGGTACTTTTGTATTTGGATGATGAGATTTATTTTAGAAGTGTTTTGTGAAAATAAATCAAAAGTAAGATATTGAATTGTGAAAATAAATCTCCTTATAATTAACTATACAGTATCATCACGCTGGGTGTTTTGGTTATTTAGAAGAAGGTGAAAGATTTAAACACATTTGACTCTTGTGTTTGGGGGCATAAAAATTGGAACAAAACAGTTCTTACAATAAGATTTTTTTTTAAATTTTTGTGTTTATCATTTTTTATTTTGTATGACAACTCATTACACAGAAACATTAATTTTCATATGGGAGAAAAGGTGAGATAATATTTCATGAACAAGGTGATATATGTACCTGTGCTGGATCTGTTCCTGGTCGTGAGCAGGGTCTTCTACAGGTACAATCTGTTCTTGTTTACCGACGCCTGTGGCACTCCCCTCCGGTGGGGGGTTAAACTCCTGGTGGTACTTCACATCTGACTGAGGGGCATCTACAAACACATTCAGTTAATACTCAGTCTCAGGTCTTGTGAAGAAATAAGAATATCAAAAAATAATTCTTCTTATTGTGAATGTATGACATGTTATAATGAGCAGTGCATAGTCATTGGATAGCTCTCCTGTATGCCATGGAACTGGATGCTATATAGGTCACTAAAGCTACAATTACATAACAAAAAATCCAAACAAATCTTGCTTTTTCTTTAGAATGTAAATAATTTCCAACTTACAAGATCTGCCAGCAGCTCTCTTGAGACAAAGCTCATCACTGATGTCAAATTGAATGACTACATCAATTCCACTAGCGGGTTCTGCTGCTGGCGGAGGTGGTCTAGGATCAGGCACAAGATTGGACTTTTTCTGCTTGCCCATTTTCTTCTCCTTCTCCTGCCCAGTGGCAAAACCAGTGAGTGCCTTTTCCAGTACCTTGGCCTGGTTGTAGTTGGTGGGGAAACCATCCAGCACCCAGCCTGTACCTTCTGGGATGTTCCTGGTACAAACAATTGTAAATATTGTGGTACAGCAGAAATAAGGAACATATACAGAAGATTTCCTATAATCATCAAACAAAATTTGCAAAATTCTTTTTCAATAGCATCAACATGAAGACTGTTTCCAGTTTTATATTTGCCTGCCAGAAATCCACATCTATTATTAATTTTAACATTCTTTTTATTGATAACACTATCAAGAAGTATTCAAAAGCCTAAAACTAAAATGAGAAAATAGAATCAAATCTTTATACCATATGTAATCTGCAAATACTGTTCATGGGAACATCACATCATTATTAGAACTATTACTTATAGCTTCTTTTGCATTTGAATTCAAGTTTGAAATATAACGAATACAAAAGGGTAAGATGAAATTTTGTTCAATTATTTTATAGATAACTGAGAATTGCAAGAAACATTCTTTGTGTACAGTATTTGTGTTGATCACAGCAGACAGTCCTAAACTCTGGCTATTATAGTACATGTAATCTTTATACTTCCAGATTTTTTTTATTTTGGTTAGTGGTTGTGCTTGGGTACAAGATATCTTTATTATCATTATATTTATATTTTCAAGGTAAGTGTTGTCAATATTATTACCTGATTTTGTCAACCAAAATATCCACAATGATTTGGTCATCTATTGGGGCCCCTCTCTTCAGATACCTTAACGCCTTCGCTCCAAGTTTCGAACGATTTGTCGGCTATAATATAGAACATAAACAAGATAATTTGATATGTTATTAATAGAAGATCAAATGAGGGTCTGCTGTTCCCTAGCACTAATATTTTTATATAATGGTAAGTATGCTGATATTTAATCCAAATTTTATTTAGTTTCCCAAGTTGTGGAAATCATGATGTGAAGTAGATTAATTACTTAAAAAGTCATCGTATGAATTATAATGTATAATAAAAATACTTTTTTTTCTTTTCTAAATGCATTTATGATTGGAATATCTTAAATTTGTGATTGATTGCAGAAATGAGGACCGACTTTGTACATTTTGCCTTACCACTGGTTTTGGTGCTTGCTTCTCTTTTGGTTTCTTAGTTTTCTTGGCCTCATCAACCTGTTCTGTAGAGGGCTCAGCACCGGGTGCTGCTTCAGTAGGTTCGGCGGCCGCGTCCCCCTCTGTAGCGACTGGTTCTTCTGACGAGGGTTCTGTTGGTTTATCACCAAAGCTTGCTGCAGAGGCATCAAGGTCAGTCGGTGCTGTGATAACAACACAACACCAGTAAGTACAAACCATAAGTGTGGAGGCCCAAGATTTATTATGTCAGCATGAATGTATTAGTCGATCACTTATGATGGTTAATTATGGTAAAATGTTATTAAGGGATCATGAATACATTTGATTCTTTGGATTGTTTCAAACTCATATACATGTCATGAAGAATTAAAGAGAATAAGAAATCACATATTTATAAATGTATTTTTAACATTCTATATTTCATAAAGAAACTAATCTGAAGCAAGTTTCATTATCTTGTGAAATATTTTTAGGAATGATTGGTAATGGTCAGGGTTCAAACCAACCCAGAATCTACTCATTGTCTAGTCAGGTCTACATCCTCCTATAGAACTATCACAGATTCACTAAATACTAAAGTCATGCCTACATCCTCCTATAGAGCTATCACAGATAACTAACTACTGACCATCATGTAATCACTATTTTTTAATGTCTCTTTTTTCAGAAAGCTGAAGTCTGTCCAGAACACATAGAAACCTTTTCTTTCTTATTATGTTTTTACTAAACAACCATTGACATGGAATTAAAGTCAACCATCACCATATTTAAAACATTAAAACATGCAGATTATAGTCATCTTTATCAACATAAATAACTTGCATGCACCAGTGATCAGCTCCAGCAGGATAGAAACTCTCTGCAGGTTAACCTAGAGATGAAGCTATAATTCTCGTTTATAATTGAATGGCAAGAACATTAACATATTTTCCTTGAGAGACAATGAAGGGTACGTGTACTAGCTAAACAGGACAACGGTCAGGGATTGGCTATATATATGTATTTATAGCTATAAGAACGGGAAAACCTCAAAACCTCATCTAACAATTTCAGAAAGATGACAAAAAATCTCAATTGTTTTTGGGGGAGGGGGCTGAAATCTGAAATAAAACAAGGTGCAAGTGGGTATGAATCATTAGCTAACCAAATAATGTTTCCATTGGAAGGGTGGGTTAGGGAAGGGATATCACACTGTGGATATCTAAACATTAAAATGATGTGATAATGATTTGAAGCATATGAGAGATTTTTCCACAGACTTTTTATTTTTGTCCTTCATCATGAGTTATTCGGGCGTTGAAATGTGATGAACTACGAACCACTAATATTGTGATAATTCAACGAAATGTCAGTTATTTTTATTCTGAAAATCAAAACCCTATGATAAGCTGGTGCACAGACAAACATACAAGAGGAGTATATATATGCAGAGGAGAGGATGCTTAATGGTACCCGGCTCAGTTATCACTGCTAGTAAGCTTATGGCTGTATTCATGGATACGGTAATCACAAAATGGCGGCCACCATCACACAAAGCATCATATACATACAATATAACCTGTCCAAACTAAACATCACTAGGACAAAGATCCCAATCTATTATCATATAACACAGGTTCAAACAACAGTAAATCTGTACTAACAGTGGGGCCTCGTTCACAGAGGTCAGATTAGACAGATCTCACCGTACCATTGCAGATTCTACAGATGTTAGATTAGACAGATCTCACCATACCATTGCAGATTCTACAGATGTCAGATTAGACAGATCTCACCATACCATTGCAGATTCTACAGGGTTCAGATTAGACAGATCTCACAGTACCATTGCAGATTCTGCAGGGTTCAGATTAGACAGATCTCACCGCACCATTGCAGATTCTACAGATGTCAGATTAGACAGATCTCACCGTACCATTGCAGATTCTACAGTTGTCAGATTAGACAGATCTCACCGTACCATTGCAGATTCTACAGAGGTCAGTTTAGACAGATCTCAATGTACCATTGCAGATTCTACAGATGTCAGATTAGACAGATCTCACCGTACCATTGCAGATTCTACAGAGTTCAGATTAGACAGATCTCAATGTACCATTGCAGATTCTACAGGGTTCAGATTAGACAGATCTCACCGTACCATTGCAGATTCTACAGGGTTCAGATTAGACAGATATCACCGTACCATTGCAGATTCTACTGGGTTCAGATTAGGCAGGTTACATTATACAGACTTAAGCCTTGTGATGCTGCCACAAATGAAGTCATAGCATTATAAATGGGTTTAGTGACTCTTGGAGAAAGTGGTAAATGTAGAGTGGAATTATTACCAAAAAGAAAACAGGGACCTTAAATCATGGTTGTAAGCAAAGTGGCAAATTGAAGGTGGGGCATTATATTATAGTGTTACCAGGTACTGTAACTTATTTCTACATAGTTTGTAGTTTTACCAACATACCATTTGGGTGCACTGATAAAGTAATAAATTGAGCTGTGCATATTACTAGACAGTTAATGATGACATTCCATTTTCTCTAACTGAGCCTCCCGTGATAGAGAATAGTCTGCATAACGTTTCTGACTAGATGACCGCCATCTTGTAAGGCCATGTAAAAACACATTTCTTTCAATTACATGTGCATTCTTATGAATACCTGGGTTGATAGACATAAAAAATATTAACATTTTTTAATTCCATTTTCAATGAGGCTTATACATGTATACAAATGCTTATAGCACAATATTTTCCCTGATACATGCGTTACCGTGTAACTGAGCCAGTAGAAATATACTATGTAGCCAGAAATATGCAAGTTGTTTTAACTTCCACAATTTTCAATTTTCGAGGTAATTTTCAATTGGTGAAAATTAATTCCAGTTCTTTTTTTACTTATTGTACCCTTTTTTTATTATTTTTCCTGTCACGGTTGAAAGTTGATCTCATTTAGATTTTGTCCACAATAATACAATCAATATAAATTAAGATAAAATATTATCACAAGTACTTTTGCCTGTTATGATCATGCATGGAAAATTATAATTATCATTAAGGATTGTAAAAATTACTGATGTTGGACAGTGGATACTATATTTAAGATTACTGTGAAAAACCTACACATGCATATTTCTGGTTACATCATACTTAACTAAGATTATATAAGGTCATGCAGTGGTATGTATTTTGTACTGAGTCATACTAGAAGGGAGAGTATATAGACAGTCAGTACTAGTCAGACAGAAGGAGAGATTTCCACACGTAAAATCGTGCCCAGATACCTCCGGCGTGATGTGTTAGGTACTCTAGAGTGCCCTCCCCTGTCGGTGCTCGTACACAAATCTCAATTCCTGGACAAAGCATGGTAATGGGTATATATGTGTTAGTGCAATAACCATCTATATCAGGGTCACTATCGGGTTAAGTGACCTAAAGCGGTCCAGCAGTTGTATCAAATCAGTTTTTATCTTCATCATACATACTATAAGTGAAGGGGAAGCTGTATTCTCTCTAACATCTTATATTTATTACTCTGTTGGAGCAATGCAATGTGTGCTGCCTGAAACATCTAACATCTTATATTTATTACTGTTGGAGCAATGCAATGTGTGCTGCCTGAAACATCTAACATCTTATATTTATTACTCTGTTGGAGCAATGCAATGTGTGCTGCCTGAAANTACTCTGAGCAATGCAATGTGTGCTGCCTGAAACATCTAACATCTTATATTTATTACTCTGAGCAATGCAATGTGTGCTGCCTGAAACATCTAACATCTTATATTTATTACTCTGAGCAATGCAATGTGTGCTGCCTGAAACATCTAACATCTTATATTTATTACTCTGAGCAATGCAATGTGTGCTGCCTGAAACATCTAACATCTTATATTTATTACTCTGAGCAATGCAATGTGTGCTGCCTGAAACATCTAACATCTTATATTTATTACTCTGAGCAATGCAATGTGTGCTGCCTGAAACATCTAACATCTTATATTTATTACTCTGAGCAATGCAATGTGTGCTGCCTGAAACATCTAACATCTTATATTTATTACTCTGAGCAATGCAATGTGTGCTGCCTGAAACATCTAACATCTTATATTTATTACTCTGAGCAATGCAATGTGTGCTGCCTGAAACATCTAATATCTGTGTCCATTTGTATAAATAAACAAGTTATTTATTGATACAAATGTTCCTTGCTCAGAAGTATTTTGCAGATCCTTTGTTCACAATATTAGGACTGTTTTGATAAATAGTTTGCAAACACATATATGATACAGTATTTGTTTCTTAATCTCTAGATCTGTATCGGAATCTTAAATGTTTTTCTCGACCCCATTTTGAATAGTAACATCCTATGAGGAGCAGTGTGTTAGAGTTGACAGTTAATACAGGATATACCAACAACTAGTGTATTACTTATTTAGTATCCTGGTATCTACCAACCAGAGCCTAGTTGTTCAAAGCTTCATCTGATGTCAACTCAACTTCACAGTCCTTTCTTTTTCTTTCTATCTGTTTTTGTAGTAACTTTCATAAGGTATCTGACCAAATGTTGTTTGTTATTTCAGAATAAAGCAAATATCTGGTAATATGAATTTAATATTAACTTCACCAAGGGCATCCCCAAAATAGACAAAAGCTCTAACATTATTTAAAAGTCTAGTTGTTTATGGGCTCTACACAGCTGGCAGTCAAACAACATAACCTTATGCTTAGGTAATACATGTATATATATATGTATATACAATTATTTTTTTGTTTCATCAATTTGAATTGTTTAAAATTGATTTGATTTAATTATGAATTTCAACATTTTTTACAATATTCCAGGTAAAAAATCTACTTTCATATGTCGTTAGGCTACTTGGACTGAGAACAACTGAGCTCTGGTAACAGTACATATTATCACCAATGTTATATAATCACCAATGTTATATAATCACCAATGTTATATAATCACCAATGTGTTATATAATCACCAATGTTATATAATCACCAATGTTATTATTATTGTTTACAAATGATATAATCACCACATTACAGAGATTTACAGGAATGTAGCGAGTGACATTTAATGACAAAAAGTCATTATGACAAAACGGTTAAAATTACAATAAAATAAAATATTCATCAGTTTAACTTTTCCCCCAAAAAATGAACAAAATATTACCATCAAAACAGTCACAATATTTCAGATGACATGCAAACAGATAATTAGTATTCAAACTTTGCTATGTTAGGTTTTTGGATCATGGAATCAAGACAAAGAGGTATATGCTGTATACCTATATGAGATATAAAAAAAAAATTCCAACTGGTTAATATGACTGGTGTGACTGATTACTAATTAGTTAGTAGTTATGTTATTATACGATTCTGTTAACTTTATAATGGTGACCTATCACAATGATAAGAAAGCACAAGCTTTTGGCACCAACTCTGTGTCATTACTTCAATATTATATTTACACAATATCAAACAATTCATCATTTTTTTTAAATAAATCATCAGCTAAGTAGTGAATTCATTCATATTGCTGAAAAAAGTATAAAATATATGAAGCAAAATTCCAATATGTCATAGTTAAAATATGTTATAAGACAGAGAACCAGATGAAAACCAAACAAACACCATTACATATAACACCGTTGTGCATATCTGAGAAATATCATGTGCAGATCATAAACAGACAATAATCAATCTAAATGGAGGGGAAAGGTAGACGAATACACAAAATTGAGGTATTGTAAGGATGGGTCAGTTATAGGTATCATATTTTTACCTGTAGGATGTTCCCCGAAATCTGTAGCTGATCGGTCTTCCATCATTGTTGACTCCGATTCCTGTATAAAACAGATGAATTGTAACAAGTATTGTAAACTTGGAATCAGAACACAAGGTAATCCATGCTGATTTGTACTGCAAGTATCAATACGCTGAATGCAAGCATATGTACAAATTTGAGTTTGAATTATATTGTAGAACTACCAGTATCCAAATTTTGTGATATTTTTTATTTCTACTGTCAAAGGCAGCACTATTTAAAAGAATATGGTACTGTAAAATATCAAATTGTTCTACAAGCTAAAATGAGTTGACAGATGCATTGTTTTAAACTACAGAGACACACTCTAATCATTTAATATAACATAGCTATCCTGTGAAAATGAAGTATAAAACAATAAAGTTATGTTCGTGTATTTATCAGAAATAAGCATTTCATTTAAAAATATTTTTATTTCTGTGCAAGAACTCAATATTCCAAAACAGACAGGAAGTATTTCCCCATAGTAAATTGGATATATTTACAATATCATTTATGAGGCAGAGCACAAATGGAAAAAAATTACAACATTTGGAGTACCAAGTTATGAAGTAAAATACACGTCAGAAAGCAAGTTTTTTTTATATTTATTCATCAAAACATTTTACAGCACAGACTACAGAACTGTTTGATTAGTTTTCACTGAGGAGTTATGAATAGAAAACAAATGAAAGTATAGGAACTTGTTATTCACAGTCACTAAACAATTACACTACAACAAACATTAGAACCCCACAGTCACTAAACAATTACGCTACAACAAACATTAGACCCCCACAGTCACTAAACCATTACAATACAACAAACATTAGAACCCCACAGACACTAAACAATTACATTACAACAAACATTAGAACCCCAGTCACTAAACAATTACACTACAACAAACATTAGAACCCAACAGTCACTAAACAATTACACTACAACAAAAATTAGAACCCCACAGTCACCAAACAATTACACTACACCAAACATTAGAACCCCACAGTCACTAAACAATTGCACTACAACAAACATTAGAACCCCACAGTCACCAAACAATTACACTACAACAATCATTAGAACCCCACAGTCACTAAACAATTGCACTACAACAAACATTAGAACCCCACAGTCACCAAACAATTACACTACAACAAACATTAGAACCCCACAGTCACCAAACAATTACACTACACCAAACATTAGAACCCCACAGTCACTAAACAATTACGCTACAACAAACATTAGACCCCCACAGTCACTAAACAATTACACTACAACAAAAATTAGAACCCCACAGTCACCAAACAATTACACTACAACAATCATTAGAACCCCACAGTCACTAAACAATTACAATAAAACAAACATTAGAACCCCACAGTCACTAAACAATTACATTACAGCAAACATTAGAACCCCACAGTCACTAAACAATTGCACTACAACAAACATTAGAACCCCACAGTCACTAAACAATTGCACTACAACAAACATTAGAACCCCACAGTCACCAAACAATTACACTACACCAAACATTAGAACCCCACAGTCACTAAACAATTGCACTACAACAAACATTAGAACCCCACAGTCACCAAACAATTACACTACACCAAACATTAGAACCCCACAGTCACTAAACAATTACACTACATCAAACATTAGAACCCCACGGTCACTAAACAATTACGCTACAACAAACATTAGAACCCCACAGTCACCAAACAATTACACTACAACAATCATTAGAACCCCACAGTCACTAAACAATTGCACTACAACAAACATTAGAACCCCACAGTCACTAAACAATTACGCTACAACAAACATTAGAACCCCACAGTCACCAAACAATTACACTACACCAAACATTAGAACCCCACAGTCACTAAACAATTACATTACAACAAACATTAGAACCCCACAGTTTCAGTGTTTATGTTGACTGACCAGTTGTAGTTACAACAGTGACGACATAAAACCCAACCAACACAGACCGACGAGTAACATTAACAGTTGACACAGCTGCATCTCTACTGTGTAACTTTACCCTCTACAAAATACACATATTACACTGTATTGTATTGACTGTGTAACTTTACCCTCTACAAAATACACATATTACACTGTATATTATTGACTATGTAACTTTACCCTCTACAAAATACACATATTACATTGTATTGTATTGACTGTGTAACTTTACCCTCTACAAAATACACATAATACACTGTATTGTATCGACTGTGTTACTTTACCCTCTACAAAATACACATATTACACTGTATTGTATTGACTATATAACTTTACCCTCTACAAAATACACATAATACACTGTATTGTATTGACTGTGTAACTTAACCCTCTACAAAATACACATATTACACTGTATTGTATTGACTAGCTTGGAATTTCAATAAACAATATTCTATTTGACCATACTATGTTAAAATGACTGTCCTGATCTAGAAGCATGCACCTATATATATATATTCAAAACAGTTCAGGAATTACAAGCTGTTTATACAAAAAAAAGCCATGCAGTTTATAAGATGATTAAGATAGCGGTACCCATTTCTGCAGCTATAACATGATATACCAATAAAGTGATTTCACCTGTACTGAATTACTACAGTAACTAAGGTAGAACATGCGTTCTCACTAACAGGTAACTACTGAATGACTACAGTAACTAAGGTAGAGCATGCGTTCTCACTAACAGGTAACTGTCTGGCTGATGCACCACTGTGAGGGACTTTACTTCCATGCATTAGGACAGCGACACAGACTTTGTTTACAGTACATAAACAACATACAGTATGTGAAGTTTAGTATGGTCAGAGATTTTGATTATTACACTACATTTTTCTGTGAACCTTTTTCCATCCACATGTTAATACACAGTAAACTGTTGTTAAAACACGTCTTACCAGCCTTGACAGAGATTTCTGTGTATGTACATGTACACATATATTAACACAGTGAAATAATAAATATATTTATTTTACTGGATACAGTGTTCTTATTTTTATTGGTTATGAAATATTTAAATTTCAATGAATGGTTTCTAAGAACATGCTTCTAAACCTACACCTTACATAAGCCTAAATCCACGTGGAGAATTATAGATTTTTTGCATATCTTGACAATAAAATATAATAATCAATAAAAAGCAGAAAGGTATACATAATCATGATCTGCATATATTCCATTCAGGTTTTAAGTAATCTCCTAGTTGATTTGTTCTTTTAAGTTCTGAACTATGATAAAAATACTGGCTTCAGTTTTTGACAATACAGATTCTGGTCTGTACGACAGTTTCAGTCTTTGACAATACAGATTCTGGTCTGTACAACAGTTTCAGTCTTTGACAATACATTGATTCTGGTCTGAACGGCAGTTTCAGTCTTTGACAATACAGAATCTGGTCTCTACGACAGTTTCAGTCTTTGACAATACAGATTCTGGTCTGTACGACAGTTTCAGTCTTTGACAATACATTGATTCTGGTCTGTACGACAGTTTCAGTCTTTGACAATACATTGATTCTGGTCTGTACGACAGTTTCAGTCTTTGACAATACATTGATTCTGGTCTGTACGACAGTTTCAGTCTTTGACAATACATTGATTCTGGTCTGTACGACAGTTTCAGTCTTTGACAATACATTGATTCTGGTCTGTACGACAGTTTCAGTCTTTGACAATACATTGATTCTGGTCTGTACGACAGTTTCAGTCTTTGACAATACATTGATTCTGGTCTGTACGACAGTTTCAGTCTTTGACAATACATTGATTCTGGTCTGTACGACAGTTTCAGTCTTTGACAATACATTGATTCTGGTCTGTACGACAGTTTCAGTCTTTGACAATACATTGATTCTGGTCTGTACGACAGTTTCAGTCTTTGACAATACATTGATTCTGGTCTGTACGACAGTTTCAGTCTTTGACAATACATTGATTCTGGTCTGTACGACAGTTTCAGTCTTTGACAATACATTGATTCTGGTCTGTACGACAGTTTCAGTCTTTGACAATACATTGATTCTGGTCTGTACGACAGTTTCAGTCTTTGACAATACATTGATTCTGGTCTGTACGACAGTTTCAGTCTTTGACAATACATTGATTCTGGTCTGTACGACAGTTTCAGTCTTTGACAATACATTGATTCTGGTCTGTACGACAGTTTCAGTCTTTGACAATACATTGATTCTGGTCTGTACGACAGTTTCAGTCTTTGACAATACATTGATTCTGGTCTGTACGACAGTTTCAGTCTTTGACAATACATTGATTCTGGTCTGTACGACAGTTTCAGTCTTTGACAATACATTGATTCTGGTCTGTACGACAGTTTCAGTCTTTGACAATACATTGATTCTGGTCTGTACGACAGTTTCAGTCTTTGACAATACATTGATTCTGGTCTGTACGACAGTTTCAGTCTTTGACAATACATTGATTCTGGTCTGTACGACAGTTTCAGTCTTTGACAATACATTGATTCTGGTCTGTACGACAGTTTCAGTCTTTGACAATACATTGATTCTGGTCTGTACGACAGTTTCAGTCTTTGACAATACATTGATTCTGGTCTGTACGACAGTTTCAGTCTTTGACAATACATTGATTCTGGTCTGTACGACAGTTTCAGTCTTTGACAATACATTGATTCTGGTCTGTACGACAGTTTCAGTCTTTGACAATACATTGATTCTGGTCTGTACGACAGTTTCAGTCTTTGACAATACATTGATTCTGGTCTGTACGACAGTTTCAGTCTTTGACAATACATTGATTCTGGTCTGTACGACAGTTTCAGTCTTTGACAATACATTGATTCTGGTCTGTACGACAGTTTCAGTCTTTGACAATACATTGATTCTGGTCTGTACGACAGTTTCAGTCTTTGACAATACATTGATTCTGGTCTGTACGACAGTTTCAGTCTTTGACAATACAGATTCTGGTCTGTACGACAGTTTCAGTCTTTGACAATACATTGATTCTGGTCTGTACGACAGTTTCAGTCTTTGACAATACATTGATTCTGGTCTGTACGACAGTTTCAGTCTTTGACAATACAGATTCTGGTCTGTACGACAGTTTCAGTCTTTGACAATACATTGATTCTGGTCTGTACGACAGTTTCAGTCTTTGACAATACATTGATTCTGGTCTGTACAACAGTTTCAGTCTTTGACAATACAGATTCTGGTCTGTACGACAGTTTCAGTCTTTGACAATACATTGATTCTGGTCTGTACGACAGTTTCAGTCTTTGACAATACATTGATTCTGGTCTGTACGGCAGTTTCAGTCCTTGACAATACAGATTCTGGTCTGTACGACAGTTTCAGTCCTTGACAATACAGATTCTGGTCTATACGACAGTTTCAGTCTTTGACAATACAGATTCTGGTCTATACGACACATACCTCCACCAACATGGTTTCTCCTGTCTTGTTGGCCTCTACAGCCTCGTTGATTAACTCATCAGAGGATAGTACCATCAGTCGATGTTCTGTACACAAGAATATATATCATTGTTATAAGAATTCTCTCTTTTTCTTTTACAAGCAATTACATTTTTCACCAGAGATTAAAATATAAAATCATATGTCGAAATTTCATTTCTCGACATGAATCATGTTTATCAAGTGTATATACATAAATGTAGTTTTACCTAGAAAAATAGCTCATTGTAAACAAAAACGTTATTTGCTCTAAGAAGCAGCAAATAGAAATTAGACGAAAATGGAAATTATCACCACATTTTTTTTTATTGAGATCATTCTCAAAGTTAGAAACTTTTATAAAACTGGGCCTTGTCTCACTGACAAGATGTCACCTAATGAATTTAATTTTACCAGTGAAAATGTATCTTATTTCCTTTGTAATTGTTGCTCACCTTCAGCAAGTTTTTTCACAACTGTGGTCTTTCCACTGAAAACTTTTCCTAAAATACAGGCACGAATAGGGAAGGGAGGAAACTCTGGAGGGGGTGGCGGAGGCTACAATGAGCAGATACAAGGCAACTGATTAATACATATCTTTTTGTCAAATCTTGAGAGAAAATGGTCTATATGTTGGTTTCAGAAACTGAATTTCAAGCTGATGTATTCGATTATTTAACAATTTTGTTACATTTTCATATTTATACATTTCTTACTAGGTGTTATTTCTGAGATTAAATAATTGTGAATTGATTAGCAAAATTTTTATTGTAATTGATAAGGTTCTTTACAGCAGAGAAGTTTGAGACTTACGCTGGGAGGGTGGACCATGTTGAAGAGCCTCTGTATGATGTGGCCCATGATAGGGTTGTCCCGTGGAGGCTTGGTCACCTCACATCCCTCGGGGGGCTGCCATTCGCCAGTCATGTTCTGGTGACAGATATCAATACAGAGTTAGGTCTACAATATGTCTTAGGGAATAAATGATAAGTACACATAGGAGGTAAAAACATCAACTATCTATAACTGAGGTAATGTTGCAAAACCCTGCTACAAAAAATATGTTTTGCATTCCAATAGGATGAAGGGTTACCCTAGTTTTGACATGAAGTTACTTGTGTGGATGGTTTGTGGAGTACTTAAGGACAGCAGTAGATATTAAGTATTGACTGAATAAGTTTTATTACTTTCATTCAAAAAAAAAATACAATTAAATAAGGTATATTAGAATGATTTACTTGATTTCAGAATTTATGATTATTTTATTTTCAACCTTTTGAAGTATTTTTTTTTTTAAAAAGGCAACTTAAAATAACAGATTTGTGAGGAATCTTTGTTCAGAGAGAAATTACCTTGTACTCCATGAAATCACCTTCGTCTAACAACTGCTGTCGTTCTTCCTCCAAGATCTGTTCTGGCGTTGGCTCTGTTGACTCAATGGCTGGAGCTTGCTCAAATAGAGGCTTGCCTGCCACAAACAGGGCCGTCCATTCTCGCATCAACTTCTCAGGTAGTAACCTACAGGTGTGGAACAGTCACAAGTCAGCAATGAATGAAGGTCACGAATCAGTCACTGAGTCTTTCACAGAACAGTCACAAGTCAGCAACGAAAAAATGGTCAAAAACAGTCGTTGAGTCTATCACAGAACAGTCACTGAGTCTGTCATAGAACAGGTCACAAGTCATCAACAGGTCACAAATTAGTCACTGAGTCTGTCACAGAACAGTCACAAGTCAGCAATGAATGAAGGTCACAGTCACTGAGTTTGTCACAGAACAGGTCACAAGTCATCAACAGGTCACAAACAGTCACTGAGTCTGTCACAGAACAGGTCACACGTCTGCAACAGGTCACAAACAGTCACTGAGTCTGTCACAGAACAGTCACAAGTCAGCAACGAAAACAAATGTCACATACAGTCCCTGAGTCTGTCACATAACAGTCACTGAGTCTGTCACATAACAGTCACAAGTCAGCAGCAAAAGAAAAGTCACAAACAGTCAAGGAGTCTGTCACAGAACAGGTCACAAGTCAGCAACGAAAAAAAAGGTCACAAACAGTCACTGAGTCTGTCACAGAACAGGTCACAAAGCAACAACAGGTCACAGACAGTCACTGAGTCTGTCATTGGACAGTCAAAAGTCAGCAACAAAAGAAAGGTCACAAATCAGTCACTGAATCTGTCACAGAACAGGTCACAAGTCAGCAATAGGTCACAAACAGTCACTGAGTCTGTCACAGAACAGGTCACAAGTAAGCAACAGGTCACAAACAGTCACTGAGTCTGGCACAGAACAGGTCACAAGTCAGCAACGAAAAGAAAGTCACAAACAGTCACTGAGTCTGTCACAGAACAGTCACAAGTCAGCAATGAATGAAGGTCACAGTCACTGAGTTTGTCACAGAACAGGTCACAAGTCAGCAACAGGACACAAACAGTCACTGAGTCTGTCACAGAACAGTCACAAGTCAGCAGCAAAAGAAAAATCACAAACAATCACTGCGTCTGTCACAGAACAGGTAACAAGTCAGCAGCAAAAAAAAAGTCACAAACAGTCCCTGAGTCTGTCACAGAACAGGTAACAAGTCAGCAGCAAAAGAAAAGTCACAAACATTCACTGAGTCTGTCACAGAACAGGTCACAAGTCAGCAACAGGTCACAAACAGTCACTGAGTCTGTCATTGGACAGTCACAAGTTAGCATCAAAAGAAAGGTCACAAATCAGTCACTGAGTCTGTCACAGAACAGGTCACAAGTCAGCAACAGGTCACAAACAGTCACTGAGTCTGTCACAGAACAGGTCACAAGTCAGCAACGAAAAAAAGGACACAAAGAGTCACTGAGTCTGTCACAGAACAGTCACAAGTCAGCAGCAAAAGAAAAGTCACAAACAGTCACTGAATCTGTCACAGAACAGGTCACAAGTCAGCAGCAAAAGAAAAGTCACAAACAGTCACTGAGTCTGTCACAGAACAGGTCACAAGTCAGCAGCAAAAGAAAAGTCACAAACAGTCACTGAATCTGTCACAGAACAGGTCACAAGTCAGCAACAGGTCACAAACAGTCACTGAGTCTGTCATTGGACAGTCACAAGTCAGCAACAAAAGAAAGGTCACAAATCAGTCACTGGGACATTCTTGTCACATGCATTTCACAGAAACAGGTCACAAGTTGATCACATATGCATTAACAGTGATACAATTGAGTTCCATCACACAGTTGTTGTCACCAATCTTCAATAATTTAATGAAACATAGTGTCAAATTTTAAAAACTCTTTTTCAAGCAGACATTAGACATTAGAGTATTTTTATTATCAGATCATTTTGAAGCCCAGGACAGGTATATTTCTTTTCATTTTCAACAAATATGAAAATATCACTCATATTTTTTTTTTATCTGAATATGTCGTCCCAAATTGAAGTATTGATCTACTTACTTATCTGTGAGTTCCCGGTATTCACCAACTTTACATGTAAAGTTCATTAACTCATTGACTACATCAAAACACATGTCGTAATGTTTCCGGTACTTGCTCTCAGCTCGTTCTGCTGCGATCTGGTCATGTTTTTCCTGATCTTTACGAGTTTGCTCTTCATATTCCTCACGAGCAAGTCTGGCCAATTCCTATCATCAAATAGGAAGAGTACAATATAACTTTTACAGAATGATTTCTTTCTGTCTAATTGGCATATTGACACTGTTCAGTATTCATTTTGTTCTCAACTTAATCAATAATAGACAGATTTGTTACAATATCCACACAAGTGATATGATTATGACACAGGACTATATCATCACACAAGAATTTACCCTTTTGAAGAATTAAAACATCAAGCAGAATATCATTTTTTCTTTATTTCATTTTTGAAAATTCGAAAATTGTAAGGTTCGAAGGGATCAATTCTGAGAAAGACTATGAATAAAACAAAACAAATTAACTATCAAAGATTGTACTTACAGATTCTCTGTTGAGAGCATCTTCAAAGTCCTTCAGACGTCGCTCCTCATACTGTTTCTCACGAAGGATCCTGTTTTTGCGGATGACTTCTTTCTCGTGACGAGTCTGCAGAAGTTGTACCGCAATCCTCCGTTCCTGTTGGGACTGTCTCATTAGGCGGTTCACCAGCATCTCCTCCCGACGTGCCTCCTGAAGACACAAGAACAAGTGTTAGTAAAGTGATTCTAAATCATGTAAATTGTTCAAAAGGATATTAGTCCCAGCCAGCTGTGAACATGTGCTGGTAGGCAACGGTTAACATCATGCTTTCTAAGGCTGCTTGAGGCACTGACTCTAAACAGGGCCTGGAAATATAAGTCTGGATTTATCTTAGGGCAGTCATTGGTATGATCATTGTCATTCCTCAATACCAGTTCAGTTAGCCATGCTTCTTCCCAGCTAAAAGGGGCTGGACATTGAAATGGCTACATTGTTCAGACAATATTACAGATATATAATATATGTTCAAGAAAATAAAAGAACCATCAGGACTCCACTCTATATGTCTGTATGCTGCATTATAATGAGCACAAGAGCAGTTAATTGAACCAAGTCTTTCTAGCAATTAAGCTTGCATTTGAAGCACCTTAACTATTTTATTGGTATCGTAAATTCATGTCTATCTTGACCTTAGAACTGTATTTTATGTGACTTTTTGCTTATCACTGGAATTATCAAATGTTTCTACTAAACCACACCTCCTGAGAATCATGTGCCATTAGCTGATCAACAAGGACTTTTCTTCGTCGCTTTTCACGCTCGTTCCTGGCTGACTGGTCCTCCTGAAGACGTTTACGGATTTTGCCAATATATTCATCATTTGAGGCTGGCTTGATGAGGTCTATTGATTCAGCCATAGGCTTCTCTTCATCCCTCACCATAATGTACTCAAGGTCTATAGATTCTCTGTAACAGAAATTAGGTGGAAATGTTAAACAACTTGATTTGAACGCGACTGCCCTGTCCTTATATAAAAGAACATTCTACCAAACCTTTTGCAAAAAGAAATTGTACAGTGCCATTAAATTTTTCTTCTTGTTCCTAATAATATATAAATTATATTACCCACTCCAATAATTTGTCTTTTAAAATGATTCTTAATCTGTTAATAAACAATTGCTGTCCAGTAATTTTAAAAACACACTTGATCCATCAGTTTTAAAATCCACCCACCATACAATTTTATAATTGCACAGTCACTAGTACATGTACTGTTATATGGATGTTAATTATTTATAAACAAAATTAATTTCTCACAAGGACAATCGTATTAAACACTTACTCATCCTCCTTTGATGGTGGTAAAATCATTTTCATCTTATCTTCAAAGTTAGATATTGACTGTTGTGTTTCCTGTGTATATAAGATAGACAAATACAGTCAAATTTTAGATGTTAAACTGCAACAATATCATTTATACATCATATCACCGAGGACGCATGTGTTCTGTTAAAGGATACTGATAAAGGTATGAAAATTCTTTCTCAAAATTTCGAAATTTTAAAACTCTAATTCAAATTACATTGCTGGTACAGCAATGTAATTTTGAAAAAGTTCTCGGAAACAATTTATAAAAAAACAACCTTTCCAATCATTTAGAGATCCTGTAGCAATTCCGAGATAAACACTTCTGCAAATGTACCTAATACAGTAAAAATGCTTTTAGTTATAAGTCTTACTACAAATCTGTGTATTCTGAGACATTTTTAATGAACCTCCAGTGAACTTACATTGGCTTCTTTCTTTTTCCTTATGTCCCTTTTCATCTGAATGGCCTTAGCTGTTTTACCTGGTGGTGGTTTAGGTATGTGTACTGTTGCTGCCCTGAAAATTAACATCAAAACACCATGCTTTACTGTCACATAAATGTCAGGGGTACACTTTCTCATTTAAGGTACTAGCATAATTTGAAACATTCTAAAACTACGCCCAAATATTTTCATATACAGTACTGAAAACTCACTAGCCGCAGTGAGGTATCAAATGTATTGAAACAACAACTTTATAGAGAGCTTATCCTAACTGCTTCACAAAGAAGTATTCATTGTAAAAGTACAAAAGGGTCAACCTTAAATTAAATAAATTAAAAACTAACTGTATTTTTGCAACAAGCTCGCTCTGTTTTTCTTTCATTAGACGAGATCTATTGAGTAGGGCCTCTCTCTGGCTCTGCTGCTGTCCTCTGATACGTTCTTGTTCCAAAAACCGGTCTTTAAAAGCTGTTTTTTCCATCTCAATTTGCTTTTCATGGAATCTCTCAACAAGTGCATCCAAGTTCAGGTCTGTTTGTCTAGGGGTGGCATGTTTCAATCGCTGAAATTAGAAAAAATATCCTCGAGTGTTGGTGGTGTTTTTAATTGGCTATGACAAAGACCACTGAAACCTACAATAGGGTCCACCTTAAATCATCAATTTAACTCAATGAAAAATTGTTATTTCCCAAGTTAAGGATAATGTGATTTATTAATTTAACTGGAACTTCTCTGAAGATACAAATACCTACCGGTATTTTACAACTTAAATACACAAATATAAATCATATTTGTCTTCAATTGATCATACAATGGTCCCATTTACAACTGTGGTTTTATATTTTTTTTCTTTATTTTTTTTTACATACTACCAACTGTTTTTTACCCCAAGACCAAAGGATTTAAAATATGTGGCATTAGTTCTGATCCAACCTTTCATCATTACCAGTTAAGTATATTTTCATGAAGCATTGAAGCTGTACACACCTGCACATAAATACCACTTTCCACAGCATTCAGTTTAGCTGGGGCAGCAGGTCTCATGGTTTCCATGGCGACCCCTGTCAGGTTAGCCTTCTTTTTGTTAGTGAGGGCGATGTATAGTTGATACATAAGTCTTGTAGCCACCCCATGCTTCTCCGTCATCACATCACGAGCAACATTGGTATCAAATGGTATTGCCAGCAGATGAAGGGTTGGCTCAATCCGAGTGAAATTATTAAGCTTTGAATCTGCTGTCCTGTTAGTTGTCAAAAGTAGGGATATAGAGGCATTGAAATCATAATTTGTGTATTAAACATATTACTGTACTGTGATTTTTGTCAGTTTATCATGAAATACAGCACATCCAAATAAATTGAAAACTACTGTATATTGTAACTCTAAGATAAAATCTAGCCAGTTTGTACATTATATTAGAGTTCCAACACAATAAATTATCTTGGTAATTTTGTCCATTAGTCATTACACTGCACTATTTACAATTTAACAATCTGACCAAATAGAAACAGAAATTTCTATTTCTAAAAAGATTTTAATTTAAATGAACACTGTCGCAAAATATTTAAATGTGACACATTTTTATTCATGCTGTTAATAAATGGCTATAAAAATAATACTTTACAAACATATCAAGATTATTACACTGAATCATTGTGCTATAGAACTTACTTGTTTTGTGAAAATTGATCGAAATCATCTTGTAGCTGGTATTTATTCAAGACTTCTCCAACCAGGTATCCAGAAGAAAATTCTCGAGCAAATGTCTTTTGTTCTGAAAAAAAAGAGCAAAAGGAAATAATCAGAGAAGTAATGTCTTTTAAAAACTTGACATTGTACAGCAATTTGTAAGTCAAATTGTCTGTCATCTGGGAATGTTCTCCAAAAAATTAAACATTAAACAATGAATGAGTATCAGAAACATCAGGCTAAGATAAAACAAGCAAGTTTGGTCACTCGTGTGATAAAAGTAGAAGTTTGATAAGCTGTAAAGGTTTTCCCCTGTAACATAGTTACAGTACGGTGGATATGGCAGAGGAATCAAAAATGTGTCTCCAATGGATAATCTTTCTATTTTATATAACTTTGTATTAAGGTCAATATAACATCAGGAAACAGTATGTACATCAGATGTCATATTTGACATCATAAATATCATAAGTAACAAAAAAGAATAGAACCTTAACATTTAAACAGTCTTTTTTTCCAATCCCTCTGAAATTACATGTATATATAATACCATTGCCTGATTATGGAATAAAATACAGATTAAACTAACAGAAACATGCAGAAGCATGAATTGCCATCAAATCAAGAAGAATTCTGAAAATCTCAGATTCCAGATATATCTGCTTTGGAGGAAGCAGATGGCCTTGATTTGACAAACCTCATAAAAAAATTGACCCATTGAAACCATATGTGATCAGTATAATAAATTGGCTTTTTCCAACTGATTTAAAACTGGATAACCCTCCCGAATTTATGTCAACAAGGACGGATATTCCTGTTATAATAATATACAGCATTTGCCCTATCTATGCCACCTGGCTAATACCTCCCTATGTGTGTGTGCTGGAGATGTATTGTGTTCTGTTTGTAGTGGGACCGTGCTTCCAACAGTATCATTTATAGTCCCACCTCACTTGAATGCTGCAGCACAGAAACATCCACTCCAGACCATTTTATACTCCTCCTGGGTTGTTGGAGTTGTGTTGGCAGGACAAAAACACTTTTCTCTGAATATTCCATGTGTACGACGACTTAAGGGATCGAACCCAGGCCACCGGAGTGGAAGGCTGGAGTGTTAACCACTCAACCAATCTGCCCATTATGGCATATTTGTCAATTTGGTGGTATGATTCATTACCGGTCTGTGACCTATTCTCACTGCATACCCATCTGACCACGGCACATATTCACCAAAAAAGAGCACTGACTGATAACAAAATTGTTGCTACATAGACAAAAAAATCTTCTGTACTTGCATGCATTTCCATATGTGCATCAGGGGGATATGTTTAATTTCAGCTACATGCATATACGGCAAAATACCTATACAAAACTACTACACTGTGTTTGCCGTGATAGAAAACATCTCTCACAAGTAGACCTACATTTGGTTTGGTTTGATTGCCATTTTCGATTAGTGTATGGGTTTTTATATTGCGCATTTTAATTATTACCTTTGATATAACAAAGCGTTTGAAACACCTAGATTCACCTTACTGGAACAACATGAGTGGTCAGCTAGCCTATTAATCTCATGAGTAGCCTGCAGGCCAATTACTCATGATTTAGATCAGAGGAGACAGGTTTTGCCCTGCAACATTAAAAATTTCTTCATGTTTTGGCGACAAAACAGGTAATGGAAATTTAGAAAGATGGTTAGATCAATGTTGAGGGATTCAATGTTGAAACGGGAGAAATTGGATATGGCTGTTTCGATGCTAGAAACCAGGAGACTCTCGGTCACATCAGGAGATATCACATGTATGATGCATAGGTATGATTATTCATTCAAGACCTGCAGGTACAGTTACTGACAACCCACCATAATGAAATTGATGCAAAGATACAAATATGGAGGTGAGAGTAAAAATTCTGACATAAGTCCATACATCACTTGTTAAAGATTGCATAAGTTGCCATAAGCCTTACTGTACCCCATATCATTTCAAATCATTTTTTTCATAAGAAATGACAGTAGTCCTACAGATAACACATCAGACAGTTGGGCTCTAGGGATTGTGTCCAAGGGTCTCTGCATCCCGCTTCTTCGGGATCCACCTCTGACTCTGTCACAAGAGCCTATCTTTATCCCCGTCTCCCCAAACTATGATATAGAGTATTCCTCCTATTTCACTATCATCTTCAATATTATGTACCTGGTATTGCATAATGAGCCCGGTTTGAAATTTTGCAAATGCTTTAGACTTAAGCGGTCTTCATGATAGGTAACAACTACTAAGATAACTGTACTGTGGCATGACTATCATGAACTAATGTCAAAATGATGTCGAGAAAAAGAAGAATAAATATTCGCAAACAAAAACATCTATCTACATAGTAATGACCACCTTCATCTATTTGAAGATCATGTCATGTGATAGTGGGTGCTAGGCCAAGAGAAGAAAAGATAAAAGATAGTGAAAGGGAATATTTATAAAGTATGATATAAAGTGTGTACATCATATTTCAATGTCACATTTCAAGCTGAACTCACCGACTTTCTGTGACAGCGATAGCTCATCGTTGAGCCATCTACAAAGAATTTCCGTCATCTTTAGCAATCAGTTAGATGCCGTTCCTTATCCAATATTATTATCAATCATTTGCAATCATGTGTCGGCCATATTGTCGCACTGGTTATTCCCATAGTAACAACTACCCGTACGGTTTTGTAACGAGCATTATGATTGGACGATTTAAATTGTTTTCGATTCTTTGATTGGTTATTTGTAGATAAGAATTTTCTTCATACTTTTACGACTTTAAATAACTTTTACATTTTAATATTTGTTACCAAACCATTCGAATATAAAAACACATATTCAAAAGTTTACAAAATATCAATTAAACTTTGACTGTTTATATTTTTAAACTAATGAAAAGGATCACGACTATCGTAATTGAGCCAGACGTAAACATGGACAACACATGGCCCTGGTTGATTTTCACAGTTTTAATTTTTGTTGTCTCTTTAATCTACATCGCCTTAAAAAGACCGGCTTCTTCTTTTCCATCTTCAAGGAAAGCTTCGGTATTGGTTGTTGTTGGTTCGGGTACGTTTTGTCGACAATTTTCTCCTGTTTCCGAAACATTATACACGCGTCACCTATTTTCACGAACGTGAAATTTAGCATTTGCATGGATATGCGTTCCGATAATTTAGAATAAAAAACAAAGCAGTTGAGAATAAACATGCAAACTGTCAAGAAAGTTCAGCAAGTTTCCACGGAATCTTACAACCGAAACCAGGGCGAGGTCATAATACTGTTTTGAACAGGTCGGGGAAAACCACTAACTTGCGTATAATACGCAAACTCGCCTATTAGTATTATACGCCAATAGGGGTATGGATTTGTTACTAAAAATAGCCAAAATCACTTTAATCTTATTTTTTTCACATTGTTTGTCCAAGTCGCATTTATTCAGTCATGAAACATAATACAAATGCAAAAATAAACTTTATTTGCATGTGGGAAAGTACCAAAAACAGATGCAATACTTCTGGTAAAGTTACATCAAGTTTCTAAGTAGCCAACGCTTTCAGTAAACATCTTTTAGCAAAATATGATTTACCTTGTCGAAAATTAATGCGATTTTTGAAAATATCTTGCAAAGGTTACTGTTAAAGCGACTTGGGTTATTTTTAGTAACAAATCCATACTCCAACTGGCGTATAATAGGCAAGTTTGCGTATATACGCAAGTTGGTGGTTTTCCCCGAACCTGTTGAATTCGAAGTTACCTTTTTTTACGAACTTCAATGTGGCACTCATCAAAATCCATCGCGGACATTTAGTGATGAGGAAACTATTAACATGCATGTTGTGAAATGGCAGTACAGTGTCCAAAATTTAAAAATGGTTAAACCATAACATATTTATACTGTACAGGTCACTGCTGGTATCTAGTAGGTAGGGTGTGGGGACCAGGGTTGGAGGGTCTGGATGGATGTTTTGAATGCCTCCAACAATGGTGATAATACAACTGAATCAGGTAAAAGGTTCCAGTAGCAGATAGTTCTCGGAAAGAATGAGTGTCGATAAACGTTAATTCGGCAATGGTATTGTACAAACTTCAAGCAGTGACTGTTTCTAGTTCCTCGTACTACTGCCAGAGGAGGTTGATATGATGTTGGGACTGCTATAAATTGGTTGACTACTTTGTACATGAGTGTTAGTCGGTCCAAACACGTCTTTGTTCTAAGGTGTCCCATTTCAGTTCCTGTAACATAGATGTTACACTGTCAGGTTTTTCTGGGTTGTTAGGTTTGTTGTTAACGAATCTTGCTGCGTTGCTTTGCACTTGCTCTATCTAGATCTGTTTTTGTTGTGTTTTCTGTTGTGGATTCCATATTGGTGTTGCGTACTCTAGCTTTGGTCTTACTAAGCTCTGATATGCTCTCTCCTTGACCTTTGGTGGACAATGTTGAAGGTTATGCTTTAGGAATCCCAATACACTGGAGGCTTTCTTGCAGATGTTATCAATGTGTAGGTTGTACTTCAAGTTGTCACCGAGTTCAACGCCTAGATATGGATGGTGATCTGCTATCTCTAGTGGCTCTCCTTTCATGGTGTAATTGAAGGCTCACTTTCTTGTACAAGTTCCAAACTGCATGATGGCACATTTCTTAACGTAAAACTCCATTTGCCAGGTGTTGCTCCAGTCTACTAGCGTGTTCAGGTCCTTCTGCAGTTGTTTATGGTCTTGTTGGTAAAGTATGGGTGTGTAGATGACACAGTCGTCTGTGAATAGTCTGATTGAAGAAGTGATGTTGTCTGCAATGTCGTTAATGAAGGTAAGGAATAGTGTCGGCCCAAGCACTGTTCCCTGAGGGACCCCGGATGTTACTGGTGTTGTGCTAGATGTGGCATTGTTGACTAATACTTGTTGTTGACAGTCTTTCAAGAAGTTGTTAATCCATCTCTGCGTTGTTCCCTGTATCCGATAGTATTGAAGTTGCTTCAACAAACGTGTGTGTGGAACTTTGTCGAAGCCAAAAAGTCCAGTATTCCCATGTCAACTTGCCTTCCCTGATCTAGATGTTTGGCGATGTCATCAATTGTCATCAGCAGCTGTGATTCACATGATCGTCTAGCTTGAAATCCATGTTGATTTTCATGTAAGATGTTTCCTCTGTCTAGGTGGTCCATGATCTGTGAGACTACTATGTGTTATAGCATTGCATGTCGATATAACTGCTGTGAGTGATACTGGTCTATAACTCGCTGGTGCTGTTCTGTCCTCTTCTTATATATTGGTACGATGTTCGCATTCTTCCAGTCTGTTGGTATCTATCCTCGGTCTAGCGATTATTGAAATATGAATGATAGTACTGGTGTGATGATGTCAGCTGTATGTTTCAAGAATGTGATAGGTACAATGTATCTTATCTGGTCCACTCGCTTTCTTCTCGTTCATTCGCTGAATGCATGCTCTTTATAACTCCTGAGTCCGAGATGACGATGTTGTTCATGGGGGTGTATGTTGATGGTCCCTTTTCCAGAGTGTTGTTGGTATTCTCCTCGGTAAATACCGACAGTTTAGTAGTGTGTTCAGATAGTTATGGTATGATGAATGAATCTTGTTTCGTACTGATTTCCTGTAGTCTTTAAAGGCTGTTGACTGCTGACTGTTTTCTCTATGTTTTAAAGCCCGTTTGTACATCCGCTGTTTCTTGTGTATCATTCGCTTTATCTCCCTTGTCATCCACGGTACATCAGCGTTTTTCTTTACTGTCTTTTTGGGAATCAACGTGTCTGTCACTTTGAAAACTGCATCCTTAAAGTAGTTCTGCCATGAGTGTTTTACATAGGTCTGACATGTTGGTTTTTGCTTTCTCCCAGTTGGCCTTTTTATAGTTGTAGACTGTTTGAGTGATCTTGATAGACTTTATTGGTTTGAGTGATGTTCCGATGGCAAGTATGTCGTGATCGCTCATTCCGATTGGTGGACAGGTATAAACCTTCTCTACCAGGCTTGGATGTGATGTTATAAACAAGTCCAGGGTCCTATCTTGACACGTTGGTAATGTGTTGACTTGATCCAGCCCATGGCGGTTCAGTAACGATACTAGTTTATCACAGTGTGACTTCATCTCTAGCTCCGTGTGTGCTACCACCCATGATCCAGTTGATGTCACCTAGGTTGAAATCTCCTCCTAGAAATATTTTGCAGTTCTTAGCAATTGTCGGAGCTGTTAACAGAAGGAACTGGTCGAGATCCATATGTAATCAATAAGGATATGTATATATCAAACTTACTATGATTGAGTCCAAATTTGAATAAAACAATAAAGGGAACCCCTCATCCCCGAAAATTGTCAAATATCAGTCAACAAACCGAGGTGATGAATAGAGCTGTCTTCTTTGTTGCAAGTTGAAAAAAATAGAGAGCACAAATCAGGCATGTATTTAAGTTGATTTCATTATTTAAGCAGCTTGTGTACTCTTTTCCTGCCTTGTACCAGTCTTTACCCAGAGTTGTCATTCCTTACACTGACTCGCTACCAGTGTTTGTGAGTGTAAAAAAGAAACAATAGTATGGGTTGAAAGGAGATCTATTGGTGTTCTAGTCTTGATTCAACTGTCACTATAGGAACCCATTATCACTTCATTTACCTACGAGGCTCAACCAAAGAATTTCCTGAATAATCCTTTATTCTTAAATCTAAAGATTTCGTCTGAAAGAACAATTCAAAATATGTCATTTTAAAGGGTTATTGTGTCCCTAGTGGGTATATAAACATATTCTATTTATGTTTTTAATTTTGAGCATGTAGAATCTCCCCCTTGGAAATTTCAAAAGGTTAACTGGCAAGTATGTGCAGGAATCAAATGTCGATCAGCATCCCGCTAGCTGGTTAGATACGTAGCACCCCGGCTACATTTAAAGCATGGAGGGAAACATTAGGGTCAAGAATCCAATTGAATAAAGAATAAAGATACAAGAACATGTACATGCATTGACCCCTAATAAACATTGACAGTAGACCAGATGACTTTGTAACGTGCTCATGGGCACCCATCCAGCCACTGACCATGCCCAACATTGCTGAACTAGTGAGTATGTTCCAGGGTTACACTGTTATGCTGGAAAAGCTAGCTTGCCAATAAGGTAGTACTCTATTCGCCTCCTGAGAAGTCTCATCCAGAAACTTAACCTTGAAAATTCTGTCGGTCCTCCCTGTTGTAAAAATGCCCCTTCCCTAACCATTGGTAATTTATGGTAAAATACGGGTAAAATACTGCCACCAAATATAGTGTGCACATATGGGCACCCATGGGGGCGGGGCCACAGTGGCCGAGTGGTTAAGGCGTCTGACTCTACAATCACTAGCTATAGCCCTCCATTGATATGTTGAACATGGGGCAGTTGCCAGGTACTTGCCAAACTGGTCAGTAGTTTTTCTCCGGGCACTTTTCCTGATTTTCCTCAACTACCAAAACCTGGCATGTCCTTTACATACTAAAATGACCTGCAATTAGCAGGGACAATCTGCATTTTGACTAAATATGATGCTTATTTCATTGTTGAGAGCTTGGAGGATATGTGTATAACATGTTATGGACCCCTGTTCAACGGTAGGAGTGACAATTAGTGTAGGGCAGTATATGTAATGCCTTGTGTACTTGGGCCGGCGGTAGCTGAGTGGTTTAGGTGTCTAATTATAATCTGTCTCTAGCCCTCCACCACTGGGTCACAGGTTCTTAGGTTTTTAGGTCACCTGAGCTTTAGCTCAAGTGACCTATTGCTATCCGTCTTCGTCCGTCGTGTCCGTTGTCTGTTAACATTTTTACATTGTCAGCTTAAGCTGAAATACTGTCAAAGGGATTTCATTGATACTTCATGGGAATGTTACTGACAACTCCCTGACCAAGTGTTGTTATTTTTCGGGTCGATCATTAATCCAATATGGCCACCACAACAGCCATTTTGTAAAACTATTACAAACTTAAAGTCAAGTTCTACAGGGGCGATTTAACTGAAACTTGTTAGGAATGATCAACTCATGATCCTGACAAAGGGTTTGTTATTTTTTGGGTCGATAAGAAATCCAATATGGCTGGCCGTGAAAAACTATTTCAATCTTAAAGTCAATTTCTACTGGGGTGATTTAATTGAAACTTGGTAGGAATGATCAACTCATGGTCCTGACAAAATGTTGTAATTTTTCAGGTCGATCAGAAATCCAATATGGCCGCCATGGCTGCCATTCTGAAAAACTATTTCAAAATTAAATTCAATTTCTACTGGGCCCATTTAACTAATCTTGGTAGGAATGATCAACTAATGGTCCTGACAAAATGTTGTAATTTTTCAGGTGGATCAGAAATCCAATATGGCCTCCATGGCTGCCATTTTGTAAAACTATTTCAAAATTAAAGTCAATTTCTACTGGGGTGATTTAATTGAAACTTGGTAGGAATGATCAACTCATGGTCCTGACAAACTTAACAATTTTTTACTCAAATTGGTACATATTTCAACAACAAAAATTAATACTGTAGGACCCAGGTGACCTTTAAGGCCCATGGGCCTCTTGTTCTCTTGGTAGTCCGGTTTTCCTCCACCTCCAAAACCTTGCTTGTACTTAAATGATCACAGATGTTTATAGAACTTAAAGAACAATCACACCAAGAGAATTTGTAAATTGTGCCAATTGACATGTGGAGCTTATCCCAGTAGATTTACCGGTAGTCAAGACACTATACATATGTATGCATGTATAATTTGTGAAGCAGGATTGAAAAAAAGCTGCAGGATTCAAACTACCAACCTTCAAACAGAGCTACTACCAGAAGTTTGCTACCGGTGATATAACCAGTACTTTTCCATGACACTCTCTCCTACTTCCTGTGACTGGGTTTCGTGATATCGGGTCCAGGTGATGACATTTACTTGAGAGGACATACTAAAATGGCCCTTGAGTGGCCCTATCAACTGTCGATAATGTCATCACATGACCTTAATTGTTTTGGAGACTTAAAAAAACATATATTGGTGAATCAGCTATTAAAACCTCCTTCAACAAAGTCTTCAAGCCTTAACATGCCCTTCACCATCTACATGGGTTTCTTCAGTCGGACACTAGAAGGGTGGGAAAATCCAATGTACAGGACGCTGCAACTAATTAAGTTAAACCTGGTCCCTTGTGATTGACCCAGTTCAGTTCTGCTAAAATGATGCAATTTGAAATGTTGATTCTATCTTATCATTTTGTAAGTTTCTTAATTGTCCTTTATGTAATATTGATGTAAGATTCGCTATGACTTAACGGTTACTGAGCTGTTAATTAGCATTCAACAAACTAACCATCTTAATGAAAAAATATGACATATCCTTTATTCAGCTTATTAGAAAAAGTAAGACTCTTTATATACAATATAGAAGCACATGGTCACTGAGATTGTTTAGCTCTTTTACTTTTAAATATATTTATGTAATGTAATTTCTCTAATTATAAAATGCCCTTTGTTGACAATATACAAATACATGTACTTCCTTGGTTAGTTTGCACACAAAACATCCGAAAAGCAGAAAAAAAGGTCCTTTGAGAGATTAACAATATATCTTTCCTGGTGCAGTTCACATGTAAATACATTTCCTTTTCTGTAGGAAGATGACAAAAAAAAATAATGTTTCTGTAATTTACCAAAAAGAAACCCAATTGGTTTGTGAAAGAATTTGAATATTACCAGGTACATAATTTTTATAAAATTGTGAAATTTTGATAAATTTATGAATGTTAAATGTTGACATTTCAGGAGGTCACACTAGGGAGATTCTAACATTAATGAGTGGTTTGGGCGAACACTATACTCCAAGATATTACGTCATGGCTACCACCGACACCATGAGTGAGGGCAAAATACAGGACTTTGAAAGCAAGAAGGGCAAAGACAATTCCGAAAATGTAAGTGAATGTCTGATGGAATGTAGGACAGGTCAACCCATTGTCTTATATTGTCCATTGTTATGGGCCTTAGCCAAATCCTTAGGATAGCATTTAGAGGAGAAAGCCTGCTTGTGACCATTCTAACTTGAACTAGGAATAGAGCTTGAATTTGAGTTTAAGAACAGTTTTATGAATACAAGCACCAGGATTAACCTAGAGCACCTATAGCTACATCACACAAATGTTTGATTAACTATGTAGCCCGTCAAATATAGAATCAAGGTAATACATATTATTCTTGTACCTTACTTTTTATAGTGTAAGTCAAATGAATCCTGAAATTTCAGAGATTTTTTATTTTCACTCAGGCACACTATTGTGTGCAACAAGAGGTCATCATAAAGTACAATATAACAATGATATGGTTGACCGTAAAGCACTCATCTTACTATGCTAGCGTACAATAATATAGTGGAAACTATTACACTTCTCATACAATGATAAACACACTATTACACTACTATAGCTATCATACCTTATTATAATAGACAATATAACGCACTGCTCATACAATGACACTCATAATACACTGTGATGTACATTATCACACTCATTTTACAATACTATTACGTTGGTATAATACATAGCATTACATTCACACATACCGTGCGCTCACACAGTGGTATAGCAGGCACTGTTGCATCCATCTTACAGTACAATCCTACAATAATATTATTACAGTATTACACATATATTACTCGCACTCCATGATACATGTATTATAGATAGTATACCACACCATACAGTGCAATCATACCATGGCATAATAGTGACTATCATACTCATCATACCATTTAATATTACAAATGTATATAATAGACAGTACTAGTGTTACAATCCCATCATACAATACTGAATAGACAGATACCAAACAAACCATGATAAGAAAGCTGTAACCACACTCATTATGCAATACAATTATGTTAGGTTTAACAAAATGATCAGTAATATCTATATGTATACAAAAGTTTACAGTTTGATGTGTGAAATTCACATATTATTTTTTGATTGTCTTTCTTGTAATTGTATGAACAGCGATAGATTTGATAATATTTTAACATTACATATTGATATTAATCCTTTCATTTTATGAACAGATGGATTAGAGGTATAATAAATAGGTATATATTTTCTGCGGATTTGACTTACATAAGCATTTGAACATATAAACAAATAATGATACTTGCTTCCAACTCCAGTAAAACAAAGCAGACAGATTCTGCCTTCACGTGGTGTTCTAGTCTATCGCCCAGTCTCTATAGGCAGAGATATATAACTGGTTCTGAACTTACAGATAGTTATTCTATCTTTTTGTTTGAGCATAGTTAAGTTTTTTTCAAACTGAAATTGATGTTTAAATATTGCATATGTTTGACCCCGGGAAGAATGTTCAATATCAGTATACCATTGTTGTATAAATTGGTCATACAGAATAGTTTTAAAACTAACCCTAAGGTAATTTTTATTCATAGTGCAAGTTTTTTGTTGTAACCATACGTAACTTAGTCCCGTACAATTGAATAGATTCTTGATATCCATTTAAAATCAGCGAAATCATTTTAATTAGTTTATACCAAAACATTATCATTCTAGATTTAATTTCAATATTCAAAGGGTACCTACCCATTTCACCATATACCATTATATTTGCTGTGGAGCTACGTATGTTTAAAATTCTTTTACAAAACTGTACATGTAATTTCTCAATCATATTGGTATTTTCAAACCCCTAAATTTCTGAGGAGTACAAAAGGGTTGGAGATATTAATACATCAAACAATTTTAATTATAGGTCGATTGGTAAAATAATATTTCTTATTTTTTTATATAATGCATACATTGCTTTTCAACAAATTTTGTTCTTGCTTTACAGAAACTGCCATTATAATGAAACAGCAGTCCTAGAAACGAGTAACTGTCATGTGTTTGCAACTCTTCACCAAAAAGAGTAAAACAAATATTTTGTGCATTACTTTTCCTTTTTCATAGATAACAACTTAAGTTTTATTGAGATTAACTTTAAGTTTCCAAATAGTACAGTAAGTTTCAAATTCACAGAAAGCATTCTGTAGACCTTTAGCTGTTTCTGACATAACAACTGTGTCATCTGCATATAGCAGAATAAATAATTTAACAAATATACCCATGCGATCTTGAAATAAATTATCAATATAAAAATGAGCTGGTCAACATTATTTTTCATTAAAAATTCTTCTAAATCATTTAAATATATTGAGAACAAAAATGGGGAGAGATTTTCACCTTGTTTTACCCCGACGTGACATGTGAAAAAATCAGTCATACCATTGCTAGTTTTTACGCAAGATTTAGTGTTTGCATACAGATTAGTTATAGCATTCAATATCTTTCCTGTGATATTATTTTTTAATAATTTCTTCCATAAACCTACCCTCCAAACAGTATCAAACGCTTTTCTGAAATCGATGAATGAACAGAATAGCTTTTTACTTTTTGAAAAGTATATAGATATTAAAGCATGAAGGATAAATATATTTTCAGTTGTAGAGTAGCCTTTCCTAAAACCAGCTTGAACATTGGAAATTAGATCAATTTCTTCTGAAAGTCTATTTAATCTAGAGTTCAAAATAGCAGGAAATACTTTGCAAAGACATTAGACTAATGTAATAGCTCGATAGTTATCGAGATTTTTAGGGTCACCCTTCTTTTTGTATATGGGTTTTATTACTCCAATTGTCCATGCTTCTGGTACACGGCCAGAGTTCAATATAACATTAAAAAGTTTAACATATATAGGTAGTAGTATCGACTATGTATTTTTGATATGCTCATTTAATATGTTATCGATACCCGGCGCTTTATTATTACGAAGGTTAACTATAACCTGTCTAATTTCATTTTCAGTCACATCACTATTTAGTATAAAATCAAACATATTTTCATTCATATCTGGAATAATAAACTCATCCTCATCTTCATCTTCATCTGAACTATTTAATTTCTTGAAGTATTCATATAGCTCGTCCAAAGATATATCAGCATCACTGTTATCATTTTTAGATTTATTGAATGAATTTAAAATATTCCAAAAATCTTTAGGATTTGATTTTGACGTGATTCGTATTTGATTTTCAATGTTATGTCTATGTGTGTTATAGCTCTTTTTAAGGACCTTTTTATAGTCTCTAGAGGTTTTATTCATATTAACTCGGTTACTACTGGTTCTATGATTTTCAAATTTATGTTTTGCATCAAAAAAGGCACACCTTTTTCTGTGACAGTCAGCTGTAAACCATGGCTTATTCATTAGCAACTTTATGTGTATTGAGTGTTCTATAATTTTGTTTTAATCCGAAAATATCGGTAGCTGAAATTCGGAACAACTTGGAAATATAATTAACTACATCATTTACTTCAGACTGACTGACAGAAGTTTTGTCAGACAAAACATTAAGTGCATCATTTATGCGATTTAATTCATCGACAGAACAACTTTGTACATGATGTATAAATTCATTTTTCTTATCATTCTTCCATGTTATATATCGACCTTGACCGTTACCTTGATCTTGACCAATATGCATATTATCAGAGTCATTCGTGTTTTTCAAAAAGCCACTGAGAGTAAAAAATAACCTACAATGCACATCGGATATTGTTGGATCAAACTTAAGAACTTCAAATTCATTTATAAAAGGGAATAACCCTGACGTTATGATTAGATAGTCAACAACACTGACGTCACCACAGTTTTTTTTACCTAAATGCTTATCTTTACCAACTCTACCATTCGCAATGTATAAATTGTTATTTTTACACAGGTCAAGTAGTTTAAATCCACAAGTATTAGGTCTGGATGAGCACTGGCAGCTGATAATCATCCTAGCACGTCAAACGCAGATAATAACCATCCTAGCACGTCAATTGTAGATAATAATCATCCTAGCACCTCGATTGTAGATAATAATCATCCTAGCACCTGGATTGAAGATAATAATCATCCAAGCACTTAGATTGTAGATAATAATCATCCAAGCACCTCGATTGTAGATAATAATCATCCTAGCACCTGGATTGAAGATAATAATCATCCAAGCACTTGGATTGTAGATAATAATCATCCAAGCACCTCGATTGTAGATAATAATCATCCAAGCACTTGGATTGTAGATAAAAATCATCCTACAACCTGGATTGTAGATAATAATCATCCAAGCACATAGATTGTAGGTAATAATCATCCAAGCACCTCGATTGTAGATAATAATCATCCAAGCACCTGGATTGTAGATAATAATCATCCAAGCACCTGGATTGTAGATAATAATCATCCAAGCACCTGGATTGTAGATAATAATCATCCAAGCACCTGGATTGTAGATAATAATCATCCAAGCACCTGGATTGTAGATAATAATCATCCAAGCACCTGGATTGTAGATAATAATCATCCAAGCACCTGGATTGTAGATAATAATCATCCAAGCACCTGGATTGTAGATAATAATCATCCAAGCACCTGGATTGTAGATAATAATCATCCAAGCACCTGGATTGTAGATAATAATCATCCAAGCACCTGGATTGTAGATAATAATCATCCAAGCACCTGGATTGTAGATAATAATCATCCAAGCACCTGGATTGTAGATAATAATCATCCAAGCACCTGGATTGTAGATAATAATCATCCAAGCACCTGGATTGTAGATAATAATCATCCAAGCACCTGGATTGTAGATAATAATCATCCAAGCACCTGGATTGTAGATAATAATCATCCAAGCACCTGGATTGTAGATAATAATCATCCAAGCACCTGGATTGTAGATAATAATCATCCAAGCACCTGGATTGTAGATAATAATCATCCAAGCACCTGGATTGTAGATAATAATCATCCAAGCACCTGGATTGTAGATAATAATCATCCAAGCACCTGGATTGTAGATAATAATCATCCAAGCACCTGGATTGTA